GAGAATGCAAGGCTGATTAAGAAGCGCTGCGCGACGTCACATTGTTGCGGCGTTCCTTGCCCAGCGCCGCACTGTTGCATGTGTTGGTTTTTTCGAGGCAACAATCTGAAGGAAGCGTGCATAACCGCTCTGACATACACATGCATTCCTGTTAAAAACCCTACAAGCACCTTTTTTTAGCCATCAAAAATCACCAATGTAATCATGAAGCCTATATACAATCTGGTAGTCAGAGTGACGAAGTAGGGTGAGCAAGTATCTGATACCAAATCCAGCACTGAAGGCTATGTAAGTAGGCGACGGAGTAATATCGCAGATGCCTAGCAAATGGAATAAAGTTAGCACACGTCCGGTGGCCGAAAATAGAGTAGACTGGGGCCTAACTGTGGAGCAGCAGGGGGAAACGTGAGCCAGAAACATGTCATGGAGGGCGTAAAATCGAGGTAAAGATCCGATTGGCGCTGTGCTTACCATACTTGCTACATACTTAGCGCGCGATACATGAAGTTGCGGCAAGTGGTAAGAGTAAGGTATGGTCAAACAAGCCCCCCGTCTTGCGACGTCAAGCTTTCGAGATGCTTTTTGCTTACTTTGTGCAGAAGACGGCAGCGGTGCTTTTTAGTTGACTCAGGCTGGCGGCCTGATCGTGGACGCCTGGTATACTAAAGGCCGGTTTGTTGACTACGCAGCGTTAGGAGTAGTCGGGCGTCGAGCTGATCCTGCGCGTTGAAGGACCGGCATAGGCCGAGGCTAAGATGTGTGAGATGGGATTTTGGAAAGTCATGTTTGGGTAATGTGATACTTTGCTTGACCGTTAGATATTGTGGGTTTGATCAGATTTGGTGGTGATGGATATGGCAAAGTTGAGGAGAATTACAGTTCTCGTGGAGAAATAGCACGTGTATGCTCTGCGCTTTTAGTAATTAGACAGCAGGCTGAGAAATGGAGTGCAAGGTTAGATGTCTCTTTGAGGCAGAATCTCCACTGGGTCATACATATCTACGCACATGAACTGTTCCCCCACTTGGCGTGCTTGTCGTGCGTTGCATCCGCCATGACAAATGATGATAATACAGCGTTCAACTAGTACACTTTGAAAGCGACTAAACGGCGTAGCACAGTATCATGCCTGTGGTAGACTACCAAAGCAGCATCGCGGGACGTCAGCACTGCCACCGCCGCCATATCAGCATCTCCTTGTGCAGTTAGCTGCACCGGGATTGGGACTCGCGCCTGCATCTGGTTTCATTTGCTTGTCAGCCCTGCACGTGCGGGCAGGGCTGGGGCTGATGGCGGGAGACGCGCATCTATGTAGTCCATCCCATCCTTTTCAAGACAGTTGTCCAACCGCGCGCAATGCTGTCTCGTTCGGGTGCAATCATCGCCTAGGTTAACCGTTGCTCAGGCTTGGTTTATTATTAGCTGGGTGCATCATTCTCCGCCCCGCCATCATCAACCTACTTCGCGGCGGAGCTGGGAGCTGTCATCATTGCAATGCCTAACTTTCCATGGACAAAGTCGAACCGGTCGCACCACTCTGTCGATAACGCCGTAAGGGATCAACCGTCGCCTGTGCCATCTGCAAAGGAAGCCAGCGACCAAGCCGCAGCAGCCCAGCGATACCAGGCCTCCGACGCCCATCAGCCGCCTGTCCATAGCCAGCAACCTTCTCTACAACCACCGACCTCTTCTGGAAGTACCCAGGGCCAATACAGCGATTACCACTCGCTGCGAAATGCAACTCACAGACTGAGTGCACATCTTTCCTTAGGCCAGCCATCGCAGAACTACCAGCTACAGCCTAGCCCGCCGCCTACATCTCAGGCAGGCCACGAATCGCCAAACCACGTCCCCTACCAGCCTCATTCTCCTCCTCCTGCATACAGCAGCCCAGAAAATAAGAAGCAGTCACTGCGCAGTCGCATTGCAGCTGGTGTCAGAGGACACAAGGACGAGGAGCCCAAAGCTCAGAAGAACGGCCTAGGCAGGCGACAGTCGGTACGGAAAAGCGACCCTCGGGCGCACGAGTATCACGCACAGGCAGAGAGCCGCCCGCCGCATTGGCATCAACACCAGGGGTCCTCTTCCCACTTGCCCTCATCGCGAGAGCAAGACGAGAACAACCTTGATCCGTTCCTCCAACAGGAAAGCGACGAATCCCCTCAAGTGCCTCCCAAAGACACTAAATATCAACAAAACGTGCAACACACTCAGCCGTTTGCTGCGCAGTTGCACCAGGAACCCTACGTTCGGCCCCCACTTGGCAGGGTGAGCACAGAGGGCAGCTATTCGACCCAAGGCGGGGTAGATCAGTACGGCCCAGAGCAACACCAAGGTCAAGGTCCACAGCAGCAACAACAACAACAACAACCAGCGCAACAACAGCAACTTCACCGCAAGCAGCCACAGCACAGCTACCAGCCCACTACTCAGAGTTCAACGGGGTCAGGCAACTTTCAGTCGTACGTTCCACAAAACGCGCCAAGCGCTTTGTCCCAGACCACTCAGCCGCATGGGCAAGGGGCTCCAATACAAGACATTCAACAGAACTATTACCAGTACCAGCAGCAACAGCAGCAGCAGCAGCAGCAGCAACAGCAACAGCCTCCGCCAGCACATAGTCAATCATCGCTAGAGAATTCCCCTCAGAGCCTGCATCATCAGCAACAGCAGCAGCCTCACTTTGCATCTCAGCTTCAGCCCCAACCAGACCAGCGCCAGCCTCAGACTGCTCTGCCGATCGCGCAACTACAGACTGAACTGCACCACCCACAAGCCATACGACAGCACAATCCTCAGACTGTACAACAGTCAATCGAGCCACAGCAGTCCCAACAACGCCGACCGCCATCGTCCCATCAGTTTGCCCCGCCGTCGCCTCTTCAGCCCACGCCCTACCAACACAACGAATCGCAGCAGGGAAAGCGCCCTCTGTCTTCGGAGCTAAACTCACTGAACAACGCATCGCATCAGCAAGGGCAGGAGGGCATGACACCAAGTGCTCAGGGCAATAGCAGAACTACTGTGAGGAAAGTGAACGAGAGTAGCCAGTTACAACCAGGAGCACCGTCGCAAGAGTCAACTCAGCTCCAGCCCCCGTCCGCTCAAGGCCAGACTTTCGGCCAGCCGCCTGTGTCTCCGGGCCTCGCAACGTTCGACGCCAACGTCGTACCCACAGCCTCTCAAGGACAACCATATCGAGCTGACAAGCAAGGCCAACAAGGCTCAGAAATGGGGCGGGCGACACCTCCACCGCGCGCATCTGCGTCCGAAATGACCGACGAGGAGATTGAAAAGATGATAAAGGATCATGATGTTTTACGTAAGTACAATATTCCGAGAGAGAGATCGTTGCGTTTGACAGGCTGCAGGTGAAAAATATCAAAAAGTCAAAAGATACTTTTTCGAACAACAAACCCAAGTCCACCAACTACAGAACACTCTTGCAAATCAGCGTTTATCTGTTTCGCGCACATCATGGGACGACAGCGAATATTCAACCCGCTTCAATCGCTTGGACGGACTAATAGCACAACTGTCCTTTTCCATTCGCAAGGACTGGAAGTCAATACCACAGTGGCTGCACCCAGTAGTCAACAAGACAGCTGTGGAGACCGGCAAGCAGGAAATGACTGCAGTCGGTCGTGCATTCATCTCTCAATGGCTAGTGGAGAACATATTCGATAAATACTTTCATCCGGATCTTGAGCCAGCTTTTTCGACACAACTGCAGTCGATTGTGTCGAATATCCGGAAGTTCTCGCCTCCTTGCCATAGTGCAGAAGATGAAGAGTCACTTGCTGCGAAGATCGTCAACTGGCGGCTTGCTACACTAGAAGGCCTTGCGGATACTCTGAAAGCACCACAAGCGACTACGTATCGAGAGAAACTGACTGAAACGCTCAATGAAAAACTGATCGCGTCTCTTCAGATTCACCTGAATGACCCTGCGCCTCCGGACCTGAATGGAGGTGTTCCAATGATCATTGAGCTTGCTATCAGTATTACCCAACATTTGCCATTAGAAAGCCGAGAAGTACAGATTGAGTACTTTCCACCGGGCCATGGCATTGTGAGCGACTTGATGAAGCTGGAATCCGGCATACCCGCCTTAACAGCTCCCATAGTCGAGCTGGATGATGCTGACAGAATTTCCATCAGAAGCATGGCATCGAAGCCAGATGATGGCGTCTCCATCGCAGAGCAAGATCAAGTTCAACCGCAAGTTGGTCAGACTTCAAAAGAAGACAAGAAACGCAGCATGTTTGGGTTCGCCACGTCCAAGAAGGCAGGAGTCACTCCTGCTTCCCTCGGCAAGCGAGAATCTTCTCTTGGTCAAGGAGGTAGCCAGCAGAGTCTGACACAAAACGCACCAGGCAGCTCGACTAGTACGAAAGACGAGTCTGCACCACCTCGCGTACGCTTGGCTGTCGGACTCGCAGTGCAGATTCGCGGCAAAACAGTTTTGACCAAGGCTCCTGTGTACAGCACATGAGCTTTCTAGAGGTATCTACGATGAAGATGATGGCTGATGCATGTTTCGAATTCAGTGATTTGGCAAGCAAGCGTTTGGGCATTTTCTTCACCATTTCTTCATATACAAGTTTTTTTGCACGGCTGTGTTTTCAGATTGGACATGCTTTCTCCCGAAAGCTATCTGTCCATATACCTTTTGTGCTGTATTTTGATGTGCATACAAACACCCCCCGCTGTTGGTGCGTTTGGATGTGTTAGAAATCAGGTCTTTGGAACTGCGAAGCACAGTGTCCTTAGCTCAGGTTACAATGACTCTGAATGCATCTGTCGAACCAGATGAGCTGTTTTAACTACGAAGCCTGTGCATATGAGCAAACGAGCCTGGAGGCCAGGCGGACAGCGTTCACGCTAGTTGCGGCCAATTCGAACGCTCATTGGCTGAACGTCCGTCGTTCCCTTTTGTTTACCGGACACAAACACCACCATGACAAAGCCACTTGAGACGACCGCCCATGTCCAGCGCAATGGAGAATATGGAGATATCCCAGCAAATTAAATGTACATCTAATAAACAGACTATTCTACACAGCAGTTACTGATCTGCACCAGCCACGGCATTGTCTGTTCCCTCGCCGACCGCGACACATACTGCCTCTGTCAACGGCGCACGTTTGCAAATCCGATACCTCAATACTTTCGAGGTGGTCCGTAATATCGCCCTCCCATCTAGCCATGATTTGCGCTCCTCGAAGATTACCTGGTCACCCCCAGTCATCCCGTCCTTGACCTCATCAACACGCACATCTTCGCCCACCACTACACCTCCCCGTCGATCATCACGGACACCACGCCCCTGCTCGAATCGCGTCCTCATATCCGACGACGACACAACGCGCGTTTACGATCTCCGCGACGAGAAATGGAATGCCGTGATTAGCAATGGCTCTGGTGGCATGGGGAAGAATGTCCATGTCGAGTTTGGAGGAACAGAGGACGAGGTGCTTGTATGGACCGACTTTACCGCCTGTGTTAAGATATGGTGTTTGAAGACGGGCAGGGTAGTGGAGATACGCGATCCAAAGTTTCCTGGTAAAGATGGCAAGGGCTGGGGCTACCGACCTGCTGACAATACTGGATTGAGGAGTGGACGGGGACAAGGGCGTGTTCTAGCATTATTGTGTCGTGCATCAGGGACCGATATCTTGTTACTTCTTGCACCGCAGACGTACAAGGTTCTGAATCGAGTCGAACTCCCTACTACAGATGTCGCTGGTCTGAGATGGAGCCGTGACGGGCGCTGGTTGGCCATCTGGGACGCTGCGTCTGCGGGTTACAAGCTTTGCATATATACGGCAGATGGGCATTTGTACCGCACCATAATCCGCGAAGCATCTGAGGACGTCAGTGAATGGGATGTAGAAGGCCTAGGCATCAAGAGTCTAGAATGGGTCCCTGGACATGAACGTCTCGCAGTTGGTGGCTGGGACTGTCGTGTTCGCATCCTTTCTACACGCACATTCGCACCCATCCTATTCCTCGACCACACACCCGTCATCGACGTACCCAGCGCACCAGTGTACACAGAACAAGTCGACAACCTGGGCACCCGCAGCTTCACGCTCACGCCACAACCTGCCACACCTCCCAAAGCCGCTCTAGAAAAGAACGAAAATGCGCTCCTAAAGCAAGGCATCGGCATGCTCAGCTTCAACTCCGAAGGCACAATGTGCGCAAGCAGAGATGACAGCACTCCCTGCACAGTCTGGATCTGGGACTTGCGAAGTCTCCGTCCCCGCTCAATCCTCATCATGTACGCGCCTGTCAAAGCGCTCCTCTGGCACCCTTGCGACCCCAATCGTCTCCTTATACAGACTGCACACGACGATCCAGTCGTGTACTTGTACACAGCTTCACAGCGCTCCCACTCAACGTCATCTTCATCGGCGAATTCATTAGCGACAACACAACATCCACCATCCATCCTCTCTTTATCCCCTCACATTGCTAAACCTGCAGTCGCGACTCCCGCTCGCTGGACGGTATCCTGGCTCTCGGGTCCTGCGGCTAGTAATAAGAAACCTTGTTTCACGCTCGCGCATACTCAAGCTTCTGTTGTTGTATGGCCAGAGGGCAAAGACCAGATTCTGCGGTTTGATCATGAAGAGGAAGAGGAGGGCGAAGAAGAGGGATCAGATGATAGTTTGTATGATATCCTGACTGGTCGGACCCCTGTGCCGGGTACGAGGGATAGTATGGAGGAGGGCGAGTTTGGAGATAGTACAGGCACAGTACAGGAGCTAGATGATACGTTTAGATCGCGGCAACACGCACATGAAGATGGAGGAGATGGAGAACACGAGTATTTTGAAGAAGGTGTGTTGGGAGATAGTGGCATGAGTGAAATGTTTTGATTTCTCCCTCCATCTTCGTCCATGATAAAAAAAATGTATATACCCCCTTCTTCTTCTTCTTTTAATCAAACAACTCTATTTCTTACCCTCATCCTCAAATCCCCACCGCCCCGTCTGATCCAGCCCTAACGGATTATCTCCAGTCTGCTCCTTGCCCGCAATCTTCTCGGGTTTACTGTAACTATCTACGTTCTTGCCGCCCAGCAGCTCAGAGCGCTCTTCCTCGTGGCCCATCAAGGGTCCTAGAGCGCCGCGCGTGGTGCCGCCGAGACCCTCGCCCAGGGGGCCGGTCACGAATTTTTCGAGGGGCGCGCCGACGGGGCGGAGGCCTGTGTTGAGGACGTTGCCTTGAGAGATGATTAGATTGTGGGTTAGAGGTGGAGGGGGGAGGGAAATCAGGGGATGGGAAGGGAGGAGGAAGGGGATAAGGAGACGTACCGATTGGATCTCCGATTGCGCTCAAGAGGCCCCCGGAGCCTTTGCTCTGTTCCTCCTCTTCGTTTTGAGGCGAGGTGGGGATGTGGTCTTGCTGGGGTTGCTCTTCTTTTTTGTCTTGCGCCATTTTTGATTTCTTATTGACTGAGCTAGGTTTTTGAAGCCCCTTTTTGTTACTTTCGAGTTAGCGAGAAATAGTGTATCACGCGATTTCTTTCAAAGACTTTGTTGACGTTGGATGGTTTTCTGGTGCTCGGTTTATCAGGGATAGATCTGGAAATGTCCGGTTTGTGGTTAGTATGAGTTGGGAAGATAGGGATATTTAACAAGGTACACTCACATATAGATTTGATGACTTGATGTCTGTTCAGCTCGAGTTCAACTGGCCCACGGCGTGGTTATGTGTTACTGCGCAGATCAAGCTTTGGGGCGGGCTGTGACGTCACTGGTGGCTTCATGAGCGTGGGAGTGTCGACGCGTTACAAGATTAGCGGGGTGCGGGACGCGACAGGGGATCGACACCGTTACAGTCGTCATGCATAATCATCACAATGTTCCTTTGAGTAACGATGTATTTGTTTTGAGAATAGGAAAAATCTACTGTACAGTGTCTGAGCGAGTGTGCATTTACAACCCCGAAAAGTTCGAGTTTTGATCAATCCGATACTAGTGACGGCTCTCATCATCCGTCATACGTAATTCCTTCAAAAGCAAGAGGGTCATCAAAGGACAAGGATCTCTGACAGCCACTGGCCTTGGAATCCTTCATGTGTATGGCTGATAGACGTAAGAGCAAATAATCAATTTCGTAACCCACTGTTGCTAAGCCGGTACAGCAGGTAATAGAAGGAGTAGAATGACACAATTCCGTTTGTGCAACTGCTTTTGCCGCATGAGATACGGAAACAGAGGAATAAGAACCGTTACATGATCTGAATCCTTGGTTAGTCTCATTCTAGCACCTACTCGGATAACTCACCTTTAGTCAAGCATGTTGAGCTGGGTTATCCTGCGACAGTAGGACGGGCACCTGCATCGATATTTTCATTAGTATGGTGCGCATAGATGGCAACATCTATAACAGTATTGTTCTTATATCCCACTTTGGGGAGCCGACCGACACGATGGAACTTGCAGGCGCAGAGAAACTGGCCCTGCCATCCGGTTTCTGCATGCTCTCCATTCTTGTGGTGAACGTTGAGTAGAATCGTTTTGATAACCCTGGATGGCCCGGTCTTGAGGTACTCGAAGTTGTTGATGTACTGATACCCGCCGCGAGCGCGGTAGCTTGTGTCCGCCATCTCTAGAAGACGATCCACGAGACACTTGCCAATACCTTTGCTCGTATAGCCTGGGTGCACGAATAGCTCCATCTCAAAAGTGTAGCGAAATGAGGATGCCTGGCTGCAGTAGTCATCCAAGCTGATGAAGCCCACAATCTTTTCGGTGACATAGCCGGGAGTAACCTTGGACTCATTGCTCTTTGAGATTGCGACCAAGTATGGAAGGCCTGCACTGGTGACAGTGTTGATTCGTTGACGGATATGATCTTCAGTGCGTCCGTCAAACTCGGTTGCGTAAATGGTATGCTCGACGTAGTAGTTGTAAATCGCCTGCTAATATTGTTAGTTTGAAAACTTTACATCATTGTCTATTATTTGCCACGTCCATCAGGGATTGTTTAAGTTCAGACTTACTCCAATGCCGACAACGTCTGCTGGCTGGACAGGACGAATGTACATGTTGGCCTGGGGGCGCAGGCGACGATCTTCCATTGCTTGCATTAGAAACTTTGAATTCGGGACTAGACGATTACGTTTGGCCAACAAGCGACGTTCCTTAGCTTCCCTACGTTTTTGTAGGTCTTCAAGCTTTTCTGCAGCTGAAGCCAGCATCAGAGGAGTGGTAGGATGCTCTGCATCGGTAGGGTCGATTCTTGCCTCCGGCGTTGGTAGACCGTTCAGGTAACAACTCCTATGCTTGAGATGCTGTTCGTCCTGACCATCCTCGTGAATCGCCTCGGAATAGACCACATCCTCATACATCTCCCACCAAGGTGCATGACCGGTAAGGTCCATATCATCTAGTGGCTTTGGGTCCGATGTAGAGATTGTCTTCCAAGACTCTCTCAAGTTACTGCCCTCAACCTTCGCCTCAAGCCAGTAACGAGGTGCCAGCTCTTTACAAGGTCCGTCTTCGGGACTGAAAGTACTGAGTGGGCAGTATATGGATCTGGTGCACTCCTGTGAGTGCCCATTCATCCATTGTTCTACGTTTGCACCAAGGTGACGGTCTTCGTGTCCTCTCCGAGCGGACCACGATTCGGGAGCAGGTAGCCAATCGCCGTTCCAGTCTAGCAGTTTCTTGACATCGTAGTCAGGGTCTCCGTTGCTGTCAGACCAGCAGTTGACACCACCATCGCTATCGCTTCTGTCGGGAATATACTTCATGTCCCTTTGTTTTGGCCAAGGCTTCCTCTTGTACGGCTGAGGGCCACGATTCCAACGCGGGTTAGCAGTTTTCTGATGAGCATGCGGATGGTTGATTTCAGGTCCGTTCCAGCCGCCCCAGACGTTTTCGGGGGCAATCATGTCTTGATTTTCATGCTCTACAGGCTCATGTGGTGTGGTTGCTGGTGAAGGTGGTGTTGCCTCGCGTATGTTTTTTTGGTTTCTTGGGTCATGTTAGAAGGGCGGAGATACAGAAAATAGCAGTCTGAACCTGCAATTTCAGGAAGAACTTACTGAACCGACTCGGGCTTAGTAGCAACTGTGGATTTGGACTTGTTCGAGGAAGAAGGCGAGCCATTGGTGGCAGCATTATTGTGCCCTGGATCTATCGTCGCTTCGTTGGCAGAGGGACGGTTGCGCAGATGTGGCGGAATAGAGGCCTTGTTGGCCGGGGGACAGCTGCGCAGGTGTGGAGGAACATAGGCTTCTTTTCGTAGCATAGTCATGTTTGTCTCTTTCTTTCCACTCTTCTTGTTGCGCGTATATTTTTTCTGCAAGAAACCTGGAGGGTTGGATGCGTTTTTGGTCTCGTCTTGATTGGGCAACGACGTCTCGGCAAGTGCAGCTGGACTGACGTGGCGAGGGGATGGTAAGGTAGTTGGCTGCTGCGCACGATGTTTGCGTCTGGAGTCAGGCTGGGATGGTAACTCAGTTTGCTGTACTAGCACGCTGTTTTGGGTATGTTTTGCTATTGCATCCGCTTTCTTATCAATTTCGTGATGCAGTAGCTTCTTGATAGGCCGACGGAAGTGATGTTTGTGTGGCCTCTGTTTCGTCGTTTGGGCTTTTAGCATACAAGCGCAGGATAAATTGGAATGGGGGAGGGTGGGGTAGGTAGTGAGTAATAGAGAATTATGATGAGGTGTTGTTGAGAGCGGGGAATGGTGAGGGTGTTAGAAAAGTCTACTGTGGCTTTCACCGCGGTTGGCGTGTGATTGTAAATGGACAGTGAGACATGATGCCGTCATAAGGCTGGCTTCACTTACTGGAGCCTGCGCAAAGTCTGCTTCCTGATGCGAAGTCATTTCTATATTTTTCTGTTGCTTCGGCATATCGGTGTGGGTATCGAGAGATTCCAATCTGGTCGGTTCAAGCTCCGGCGGCTGCGAGAGTGAAGTGCAAAGATGCGAGTCCTTCATGGCTGTGCTCCTGATACCAACCTTCTTCGAGTGTGTAGAAGGAACGAAATATCAGGAGAGTTCTAAGCAAAGCAAGAGGAATCGACGAAAAGCAGAAGGTGGAGAGATGGAATGGCAGACGATGCAGCCTTGTATACACTTGCACGGAGCTGCCCAAAGCATACAGTGAATGCTTGTTCACTTCACTTTACTTCACTTTCTTTCTATAGAATAGGTGCATTTATTGGTGAGGCGGCGCTCATGTCCAACGAGTCTTCACATGCTAAGCAATCGTTTTGTTTGTAGGAAAGAGCATACGGGCGAGCAATACAGCTGTCACCACTGTGAATAGGTTACGCGATCAGAACGCTCGCCATGATGTCTCAATAAAGTAAAGGAGGAACTACACCTCCCAACTGGTTCGAGTCATCAACGCAGTGTCGATCATCTGACAAGGAAAGACGTTGCCTCTGAAGAAGCGTAGCGAGTTGGCGTTGAATGCATGCGTCCGCAAACGGCTTAGCTCGAAGATGGCTCTAGGAAGCCCATTGTCACTGTCTTGCTTCTGCCTAGTAGGACCATTTTCTCAGATTTTGAGCAGCGCAAGATGCTTTCGATATTACGGAAAGCTCGTTTGAAGGACAAGGAGATGCGCATCCTGATGTTGTGCGTGTTTGCAAAAGAACAGTTGTGGCAGGGACTGACAGCACTAGGGGTCTGGACAATGCGGGCAAGACGACTATTGTGAAGAAGATCATGAATGAGGATGTCAATAGCGTCAGCCCGACGCTCGGTTTTATCATCAAAACAATCGAGTACGATGGGTACGTAGGGCGAGCTGAGTGCACGAGTCCGGGCTAATGAAGTAGTTACAAATTAAACATATGTACTTTGACCTGCTTGCTCGGCACGAGTGCATGCTGACAGAACAGGGGAC